CCCCAGCCAGCCATGCTGGCTGGGGAATTCTGGGAATTGAAGTCCACCCATCTTAAAGTCGCTGAGGTTGAGGACCGCTGCTCTGAAGGCTTGATGATGCTGGTGCAAAGGCCCTGCTTTGTGTGTGGTATTGCAGGGCGTCAAATTCTTCCATCTGAATGCACCCCATATTTCTCTTGCCGTTTCGTCACTCTTTAATGCTTGCGCACCTCCCACCCCTTTTCTACAAATGGCCGGCTTTGCAAAATGCGGGGTGCCATAAACGGAAGCATTATTCAGCCTAGCGCATAGCGCCAAGTGGATCATTTATGAGGCATCTGTCGTGTGAAACCAAAAATCAGCCTAATTTTGAAAATGATGGTTAAGTTAATCATAAGTGGGTATACTGCATAAAGGGCCAATATGGGCCACAGCAAATGACTTCCCATAAAGATATAATCATCTTTTTTTTCAAATTCCCTACCCCCTTCCCTCCCTCCCTCCCTCCCTTCAACCTTCTTTTTTAAGAGCTGGCAGATTAAAAACCACAAAACTTAAGCAGCTTAAGAAAATCCCATTTAAAGCAGGAATAACATAACAGAGGCTGTGTTTGCACAAAATCCTGAACTGCAAATTAGTCAACCGCATCCGAGCTGAACACACTGCATGAACTGTGACAGTATGGTTAGTTTATGGTTGAGTGTGTTGGGTGAACCCAGAACAGTTGGTTTATTGGAAAATCCATGGTTATTGACCGAGGATACATCTCATGCAAGAGAGTACAATAGCTGTAACAAAAACTACGTTAAAGCACCTCGTAGAGATGAATAAACCTAAAATCACCACACCTCTCCTTTCCTGCTTTCTTTATTGAAGCCTCTATTGGATCTAAGCCTCAATATCCGGTGCTCCTCGTGTGAGCAGACAATCTAAGCAGGGACGGGAGGCCACCAGGAAATCAAAAAATATCCCAGGAGGTGGCCATTCATAAGCCACAAACTGTGGGATGCAACAAGGCTTTATTTGATCCATGTTAACCCTCGCTTCATTTTTCAGATGGTAAACGCTGCCCTAGACGCAGCTAACAAACACATTGCTGTAAGCTGGGTTCTCAGCCTAAGTGATAAAATGGTCTATCATTAAAAAAATATATAGTTTCGACTGCTGAAACTTATACCTAACTATGGCAAGATTTCAGCATCCTCTGATTTCACGAACAAGAGCAGAAACAAGCACACTTTTTCTTTTCTTTTTTTTACTATGCATCTTAATAAATATTCTTTATTTTTAAATTTTGCACATTGCGCTTCCAACATATTACATCCAGAACATCTTTTTTGTTTCGTCTTTTTGCAAATGGATGTCTACTTTGTAAAATCTTTATATTGAGCTCATTGTCATTTCTGTACAGAATTATAAGTACAACATTACTTTTTGCCACTAAGTTGCTTTTCTGTTTGATAAGTGTCACAGTTAAGAGAAACATTGAATGAAAAGAGGTGGCTTTAAGTTATGATGGTCCGGGCTGGCATCTGTCTAGGCAAAACTATAGACCCAGCCTGGAAATTGGGGGGTGGGGAGGGGGCGGCGGGGAACCAAATTAAAGGGATAAAATTCCACCAGCCTCCTGCAGAGAAACGAAAAAGGAAAAGAAAGAAACAGAAAACCATGGATTTTTTTCTTAAAAAAAAAAAAGGTACGATTTTGTTTAGTCGCTAGAGAGAATGTTTTCTGAAGAGAGAAAACGCGCAGTAGTCATTTCGACAGTTTTCACTGAAAGACAGAGCTAATTTTATTCGGTTTAGTTTGCTCCAGCTGTTGTCAACCAACCGCTACACACCGGCCTCTTGTGATCGTTCAAGCGGCAGTATCTGTTAAATTTCTCCTTCAGGTGCTCTCGGTACCTTTCCCTGTTGCTGTAGAAGGACTTGTTGTTCGCCTTGAAGGACTGGATCTCATCTTGCGAGATGAATATTTCTTCATCGGAAGTGCATTCGGATTCGTCCTGAAAAGTGCGGGGAGAAAGAGAGGCAGGAAAAATAACAAGGGGAAGTTGAGCATCTCTGATCAGTTCCCAAGCTGCCGGATCAAACCTGGTTCACCAGCCTTACTAGAAACTTTGCTAAACATGGTTTTGTTTACTTGGACAAACTGCAAAGGCCTGTGTGGTACACAACCTGTGCGCTGTGTTTAACTTTCAGCTTCTTACTGCTTTACAGGCTTGACTTCATTCTGTACAAGGGCCTTGTAAGGTTGTAGGCTGCCTGGGGGTGTGTGGCATAAAAGGTGGCACGTCAGTCTTTTAAATCCATTTTAAAAACCTATAAATCATTTCCAACCACGGATACTACGGCTAAAACGGGGAAAGGTTACGCTGCAGTACCTTACGGATTATAAATTTTCTCTCGACATGAATAAGAAACAGATTTTACTTATAGATTTATGTGGTTTTCGATTTCTGTTCGCTTGCTTACGCTTCTGGCTTAAGAATGGAGACGCTCTGCAGACTCTTTGTCCGTCTCTGGTCTCCTCTGCCAGGACAACTGCTCAGAGAAACATCTTTCCTATCATTTGCAATCTGGACCTGTTTCCAGGAAGTGAATATGGGACACCTTGCACACCCTTGTGAGAATCTGGGTCTCCGCTCTGCCTCCTGTTCTCCTAAAATGCTCTGGTCTTGTTCTTACAGTGAAATAACAGAGCCTTGTAACGAGAGGCTATGCTGTGGAACGTTCCCTCTGAGTTATTTTTCCAACGTCCCACCAGCAGCCCGCGTCCCGGTGGCTGAGAACCATAAGGAAAACTGTAAGGAATTGTTTGGAAATTGCAATTAGAACAAAATGAGATGCTGATAACAAGAGCAAGATAAACATCTTCCCACAGTGTCTATCTTTAAAGATCTGAATTATGCCAGTTGGTTACAAGGCACAATTTAAAGTTCTGGATTCTGGAAGTTGAAGTCCACACATCTTCAAGTGGCCGAGAAACACTGGGCTAGCATCTGGCCCACCCTCTGCACTGTGCAGGAAAGCCAATTAAACAATCTCTGAGAGACAGCTGTCCAGACTTTTCCTAAAAAGCTCCAGAGAGAGAGAACCTACAACCTACACAATCGTTTCTCAATCTTGGCCACTTGAAGATGTGTGGACATCTTGCTGGCTGGGGAATCCTGGGAGTTGAAGTCCACACACCTTCAAGTGGCCAAGGCTGAGAAACACTGACCTAGACTGATCCATTGGTGTATAGATCTTACCATCAGAAAGCTTTTCCTTATATTTAAATAAAATCCAGTAGCTTCAATTTACACCCATTAGCTGCAACTTACAACTGTGCAGTCCCAGGAAAATATATGTTAATTGTTGCTACCTCTTTATGTCTCAAAATCTGGCAATGTTATGTTAGTTCTGTATGACAGTTATCTTTTGACTTAGTTATTTTTGATGTATTCCGGCCAGAGTCACAAACTGTGAGTGATGCAAGAGGAGAGCCATATTAGTCTACAGTGGCAAAAAAATCAGGAGTCTGCTAGGCACCTTTTCTGACTAACACATTTTATTAAAAGACAGAAGCTTTTGTGAGCTGCGGCTCACATTATCAGATGCACTGAGCGGCTAGACTGAGACGGATATAGGATTTAAATTGGGTGGCTGAGTGAGTGAGTGAGTGAGTAAATGAATAAGTGGATGAATAAACAAGTGAATGAATGAATGAGTAAATGAATAAGTGGATGAATAAGTGGATGAATGAATAAGTGAATGAATGAATGAATGAGTAAATGAATAAGTGGATGAATAAGTGGATGAATGAATAAGTGAATGAGTGAATGAGTGAATGAGTGAATGAGTGAGTGAGTGAG